AAAAAAAAAAAACGTTCATAAACGGACGGCACGAGCCCTCACAGTCCAAACCAACCAACCAACCAACCAACCAACCAACCAACCAACCAACCAACCAACCAACCAACCAATCACTGCAACATACCATATATCAGGCATTCCTTTTTGAATTCATTCACATTTCGCAGCTCAAAATTATCCTACAATCAATATCATTCTTCTATTTTCTCTTTCACTTTTCAATTAAAAAGTAATTGTTTTAACACTCTCTCTCTCTCTCTCTCTCATTCATTAATCATTTTATTGGAAAAAATAATTTTTATGAGAAAATGAGAATATAAATGATTGTTTCATATTCATATAATTTTAAATGGCTTTTACATCACGTGATAATCTATTGCGATAATTTGTTGTTTATAGTTTTGTTTTAACTAAGGTATGATGATTTTTTTTTTTTTTTGATTTCTTTGTGAATGTGAAATGTTTACCATTTTATTGGAATGATTTTTTAAATGGTTGAGAAAATAATGTAAGTTTTTGTGGTTTTGTTGTTTTATTTTTATTTTTATTTTTTTTCATTCTTCCTGTAATATTTTTGCACTTCGATTAAAGAATCAAAGATGTTAAGTTGCCATGATAGAGATATATCTACTAGTTGACTTAATGTTAGGAATATTTCTTATCTTGGTACTGCTATCTTTGTTACATGGTAATTTTTTTTTTTTTTGCTAGGCACTATCTGGTGGAAAATTTTTGTGAGCAGCATTGTTTGTTCGTTTTACATTGAAATAGTTATGGAAATAGAAATTGATTCCAGATGTCGATTGTACCGGAGGAAAGGAGGATATTATTAGAGAAATTGAATCTGAAGACGTCAACAAATGATATTGAGCGTTTTTTTACGAGATGGGGTCCGCTTTCTGAATGCATTGTTATGTTTGACAAGGTATTTATGCATTTAGTAATGTTTTATTGGCAGCGAAGATATTCATGCAATTGTCCTTATTTACTGTTTTTTTTTTAGTACAATTTTTATTATTTGTTTGCGTCGATTAATAAGGATGAAATCGGTCTAATTCTCAATTGACCGATTTCTCTTTAATTTCAGAATACGAGACGTTCTCGAGGATACGGGTTTATTTGCTTTGTTTGGGATCATCACTGTGAACAATGCCTTGAAGCGCAACCACACTCAATAGATGGTGTACAAATTGAAATGCGCCCAATCAAAGGCGTTAGTCAGTTTATTTAGTACCATAGTTTTTCTCCATCTCTGACATATACTACTACGACCTGTTTAAGAAGTTGATTTCGTTCTCCTACCAAAATATATGTTTGTGTTCATTGTTTCATTGAATAAGATATTTAGATATCTTCAAATCCGATTGTCAAATACATCAACACAAGAAAAATTCTAGTTTCATTTCTTGGTGCAAGACTTATAACCGATGAAGTGGAAGAGTATTTTTCAAAATTTGGTGCAGCTCATGTTGATTTTGCAGTGGATACACTAAATGAGGTCCACTTATTTAATTTTAGATCGGAATACTATTAAAGATGTTAAAAAATATATAGCAAACATATTAAACTTTGGTTTAGTTTTATTTTAAGACAACAGTTGGAAAATTGTGGATATAGCAGCGACTATCACACTCTAGAAGATCGAGCACTGAAAAAGTGAAGTCTGTAAAAGAAATTGTGAAATACTTTCAAACGCGTATCAAAGTTGCTCAACTGCTGACTGATTTCAGAAGCCGTTATATTTTGCATATGTTACATTTGTCGAAGTTGAATCGTGTAATAGCTGTATAAATATTGGGGAACACTTCATCAGTGGCTATCCTATTTTTATTCGAAAAGTGATTCGACGAGAAGATCTCAAAAAAGCGGAACAAATGGAACGTGTTCGAGCAGTTTGTGAAGCGCGAATTCAAGAAGAACTAGAAGAAGAAGCAGGAAGAAAAAGACGTCATTTAGATCGGAAATTGCGTGAAAATTATGCTACTGAATTAGCTTTACTACGGCCACCTCCACCTCCACCACCTACTGCTGCACCATCGCGAAAAGCTCCAGACCCTACGCCAAGTTCTAGTTGGGTGCCCCTTTTACCTAATGAACAATTCCAAGAAAACAATGCTTCTCACCTTGCTGGTTATGGGCCACAGCATCAGAAGCAAAAGCAATGTAGTACGTTTGCAGGTGATGTCATTCACCATTCCGATTTCAGAAAATCATTTTTTTAGCTTGTATATTAAGCTAAACAATCGATTTTTAGAAAAACATGTTATGGTGAGAAGAGATTGATTAATGAGTGTGAATTTGCTACGTCAAGCAGATAAATCAGTGCAGAGTGAGCGATATTTTCCAAAATATTTTGATAAATGAGAAATAGATGATGGAGATTTAAAAGAAGTTTTTGCTTCCGCATCGCGTTTAAATTTCATAGGTTTTCCAGGTTCAAATCTTTCGAGACATCCTGTGGGAACTGGGACATCACAATGGATTCCATTGCCGCATGGAAGTATATCTACACCCTCCGATATTGTCCGGCGATATTCTACACCGGGCGAACCGTTCAATAGTCGATCTTAATATACCTGATGTGGAATAGTAATGAAAATTCTTTCTTGTGACTATGATTATTGTTAATGCTTTTCATTTTTCTACTGATTATCATCTGTGCTGGATATCTTAACCATCGCTGTTTACAAAGGAAGATTTTGTTACAATTTGTTCAATTTTTAATTTTTTCAATTTTTTAATGAAAAAACTGTAAGATTTCATATTTATGAACAGTTTTGAATATTTAGGGCTTTTCATTTTACAGAAAAAATCTGATAATTTTTTTACTTTAGCAAAATATTGTTTCGAAAGGAATTTGTATTCAATAATGTTAATAGTTTGTCATATGTGAATATTGTGAACTTGCATAAAGCTTTCCGTTTGCTTTCATCCGTTTAAAATTTTTAAAACTAAATTTAAAAATGTGCATAAGTTTTTAAACTATGCCAGATCCAGTGTTTGGCTTTCTTCTCATTAATAACCTTTCAAGCCGCTACATGGATATATTTTAAGCTTAGAAACGGGCTGAGTTTTCGCGATTAGTAATATGGTATAATTATTTCTGTTTTTGCAGGTTTTTTGAAATGAATTTTGAAAAGATTGCTACAGCTTCGTTGTCGGTGCCGCTGGAACTCGATGGCAGGGAAGCTTTTTTAAAGGTTTGTATTTATGGGTTTTGTTTTTCGAGACTAGGATCTTAGCAAGATTGAGCTTGCTTGCTTTCAGATTTCATTTTCTGCATGTCGTTAATCTATCATTTATGATATTTCTATAAAATCAGATCATATACGTCAATCTAAAATGTATTACTGATTTTGCATCTTCTGAATCGTCATTTCAAAAATGTGTTGATGCACCGGGTTTTCAGGTCATCCGCATATGGAAAGAACGTTGTCATACAGTCAACAGGCGCTTATCAGGCATCGTATCAGTGGACGAACGGGATTTTAAGCGCAGTCACATATTAGCTATCTTTAACATACTTTCACAAAACGTTGAAATTCGTAAATTCATTCCTAAGTCACCCGGCATTTTTTCGACCTGTGCATATGAAGCTTCTTTTTGGTTAGATTTATTTTACTTCCAAAATATATCTTTACTGTGAGTAAGCTAGGTCAAAATGAAATTTATTGGTTTTAAAAATGAATTAGTGGACTTTTAAATGGAAATTTTGTTTTTAAAGAATTTCAGATTTCATTTTTATTGTACAATTGCCGCAATTTTCTTCCAAAACATGTTAATTGGATCTTAAAATCGCTTTCATCAACTAGTAATTAAAATCGTACAGTTTAGATAATCATGTTATGGAATTTCGGCCTTTTGTATTGGACGAGAAACGACATCCTCATGTTTCTTTCCCATATCGTCTTGCTTTGGAAGAAGTCTCAAATGAGCAATGGTGCGTCCCATGAATAATTATATGCTACTTATTTTTGTAATTGTGAGGATGGAGCATTTTAGTCACTTATTTAGTAATATTGCTTTCTTTTCAGGAATCTAAGTCTTTTCATCTCTAGCGATGAGATTAATTATATTTGGCTGCAGCAAATCGCGTTTCCACGTTTGGTAAAGTGAGTTTTTGCAACATACTTCTTCATTGCATTTCATAAATATTTCATTATTCCATTTATCTAGATGGTTCGCTGAAATTGGTGAACAGAGAAATGACGCAGTTTCGCACAAATTAGTTAATATGGAAGATTATTCGCAGTTGTATTGTGAAATCAAAAATAAATGGGGCCAACAAATTGCAGCAGTAAGTCTTTTCGGTTTGTGATAGTGAAAACTACTGTAATTGCGAGCACTGACTGAATCGTTCGGTACAACATACTAATAAATCCGAACCACTGATCAGTGGTCCACGTTCTGTACTCTTTCAAAATTTTAATTGGCTTAATCTTTTAAAAATTTTCATTTATTGAATTGATTGTTTTTAGACATGGACAGAAAGAACGAATCCACAGAAATTCGTTTATGAAGATTGTGCTATTGCAGCTTATCTAGTTGTAAGTAAAAATTTATTAAATGCAGCAACAAAAAATTCGATTTCTTTGTAAATGCCGGAAACGTGAATTTTAGGCTTTCTGGCGACAAAAAGGTTTCTTTCCAAAAAGGTTCTGTGATATTGGTTGTGGCAATGGCTTGCTTGTATACCTGTTGCAAAAAATGAAGGTTTGTTTTTTTAGGAGCTATATGATTTTGAATAATTCGAGAGGAAGGTTTTCGACATCATTTTTGATTAAAATATGAAAAAAGTCACGAAGATTTTACTTAGTGTAGTGGTTTTGCAGGTAAATGGTTATGGAATCGATTTAAGACGGCGCAAAATATGGACAAAATTTGTCGGAACCGATCTGAGAGAAGAAACATTGAATCCCGGGGATTTATTGATCGACAGCGATTTTCTTATCGGAAATCACACAGATGAATTGACACCTTGGATACCTATTATGGCTGCTAGGTTAAATTATTTTGTAAAACAGATTTTTACAAAGAAGCGTATTCTTACAGTTACATCATTGGCCAGAATTCGTATGCAGTATGTTCACTTTTTTTGCCCTTGAGATTTTTCAGAAATTGTTGGATTTAAAGTGTGTTTCTAAAAATTAATTATAATTTAAAAGTCATTTAATAGCCGTTAATTTCAGATCCAGAAGTAACTTTTTCTTACTGCCATGTTGTCCATTCGATTTTTATAATCGTTTTCAAAAAAAATGTGGTGTTACTGCTACTAGTGTATATTCCTCCTATCTTTTGTTTATTCGCGATATCTGTTTGAGGTGAATTTGATATTATTTCAGTAATGAGGAATTTTTCTATCAGATTATGTCAAGCTTTCTCTTTCTCTTCTTTAACTGGATTATTCTCAAAAGGTCTGGATTACTGAAAATTGTTCAGGCTGGGCTACTGCGTTGAAGAAGATCGGCTAAAAATCCCATCAACGAAACGTTATTGTTTCCTTTGCACAGTACCTGCTGGTGGATTAGTAGAAAATCTGGAAAATATTATAAGTGACATATTGCCACACATGAATTTACCAAATTTTTTGCCGAGAGAGAAGTTTGAAAGGGTATGTTGAACTTTGATTTGGTGTAGGATTTTCCTAAAGATTTTGCAAAGTTCATTGTTTGGTTTGTGAAATTAAAATGATCGTATACCAAAGAAATTTGTTATTGTTTTTTCTTTAAATTTTAGAACATGCAAATTTATTGTAGATTAAGTTCAATGCATTTGATTAATCAGAAACTGATTTTGTGCTGAACAGAGAAAGAGCTTATATGTAAACGTTTCAGATAAAAAATTGTTCTAAACTTCGTCGGGACTTTCAGCAGATGCTCGCCAGAAAGATATTCACGTACTTATTGGAGCTATCACCAGACAAATCGACAGTGTGCGTATTTTCATTTTTGAACTTCAGAATGTGATATTATAGATTTTGAGTTTTTTGAAGTTGTTAAAAAATAGTATTCTAAAAACCTGGTTGTGAATCTGGAACCATGGATGCAGATTTTGACGAATGGCTACCGCATTAAGTCATGTGTTGCAGGTGTTGGGGCGGAGAGCCATGTTCTCTAAAAGAAATAGCTGATCTACTCAGTGAGGAAGAAAAAGCACAACTTCGAGATTCAAATGGCGGCTTGCAAACATTCTTGAAAAATCAGCATCAAATTTTCAAAGTAAGATACAAATGAGATGAAGTTTTATTCGGATGCATTAGGCTTTGCAAATGCAATTACAGAAATTAAATCATGAACAGAAATTTTAACTTTTTTTTCATGATCAAATAATTTCAGGTAGTTAAAGGTACAGTCTCAATTCGTAATTGGGCTAAAGAGGGTAATCGAAGGGTGGAAGGAAAATTGAAGACAACAAATTGCTGGTTCCACAACTATTATTTCAATGGTTGTCCACTATCAGCTGAAGACTGCTCTTATAAACACTGATAATTTTGAATTCTCTACATACATTCTAATTGAATTGATTTGTACATGCATTCACTTCATGATGTGAATACGGTGAGATCTGACTATCGTAAATAATTCGATCTTTTCCTTTTAGAATTTATTCTTGACGGAAAACTGTTTTAAGTATCGCTTCCACGTAAACTGTTTAAAGTCTTACTTCTACTTCCTTGTTTTTTTTTCCAAGATATTTCGAGTAATGGAATTTTAGATAATACAATGGTCAGTATTGCCAACAAACCGATATAAGAGAGATATCAGTATATTGAACTGTGATGAAGCAAAATGCCTTACATCAGCGTATTTTTATATAGCTTCAATTAAAAAATTGAATCCAGTGGAAATGATTATCATTTAATTCGTTGGTACTCCTTATGTTAATCACGCAATCACCAATGATGTTTTCATTAATCGCAGTGAAAATATAACATTACAGTTTTATCAGGAGAAAATTTGTTTACAATGACGTAAGAATCGATGTTTCACACAATGAACGGCCAGTTATGTAGCAGAGTGCACTGATGTTATAAATCAATCAAAATGGAGGCATTTTTGGCAGCCGAGAATTTTACAACATTACTTATGCTTACAACTTACAGAGAAATTACATGTCTTTTATGGAAAATTTAAATACAGCACCTGAGCTTACAGTGTCAGATGCAAGGAATCAATAGTTACTTATTAAATGAATACAATCAAGTATGCTGCAGATATAAGGTCAATTTCAGCGCTTCATTCTTGAAAACATTTGAAAAACGAGTAATTTCTTCGTTTTCTTTTTAACTGGTGACCTAAGCGGTAGTATTACGCATGGCTTTTTGAAGCTAAAAACAATTCTGGAGAATTTACTCCGTAAGAGGGATTTCTTTTTAATCCGAAATCTCTAAATTCAACTCAAAATTTGTTATAATATTCAAATGAGTGCATGTGTAACAGTATTTTTGATGATTGAATAAAAGCAATTTTTCTTCGTCAAATTTTTACGTCAAAAGTTAGAATGACTGATAGTTGTTATTGAGATTTCATAGAATTTAAAATAACCTAATAAAATCACCATGATTATTACTCCACAGGATATTCATTTTAGATATTTACACCTTAAAAAACTAAAATTTTACAAAACAAACTAAAATTGTTAGACGAGATCGGTTCGATAGAGAGATACTTATATTTCAAACTGATATACCATTGTCCAGCACAGTGCTCGCTGGTCTTGATGCTTCATGATAATTATTATTTCCAGAAACTGGTGATTGCTCGTTTGTCCGAATACTGGAAATGTTAAAAAGATGCTACTGCGGAAAAAAATATTCTCGAAATTAGCAATTTTGCTAAGCAATACTGATTTGGGTGAGACATCACACAAATCATATGTGATCAATTCAGTAATCGTGGAGAATTCCGAGGCGCTATTTTGCTGATTGTTAGCTATTATATTGCTAGCTTTTCGCTAATGAATCTTGATCTTAAACATTAGATAAAAATATCAGAGAGATTAATTTGTCAATCTTGAGAATCTATGAAATTTTATCATATTTCCTAATCTTACAGAAATGTTATTATTTTTTGATTTGATAACTTCTTGCAAACTAAAACTAATTATTAATCTTCAATTGTAAATAAATAATCATTTTTAGCACAAATTTTTTTTTTCAAACTAATACATCACATCTACATTTAAGAAATTTCATTTATGATCAATTTCCTATTTGAATTTTTCAACTATTCAAATGATAATGTGATAATGACTAACTTACAGACGAGGAGTTCCTTCATCATCTGCATCATGCGCATCATCAAAAGATAACCTTTGTGAGCAACCGCGATCTTTTGCTGTAACAAATTTAAATTTACAAAAAAATTTTGGAGAAAAAAATCGAGATGAAAGTATTACAATTCAAAAATTCTCATAATATAAAATTCAGAAGAAAATTGACAGAAAAAAATGCCTGCCAAATTAGCATACCAATAAATGTTCCTTCCGGTGCATAAATGGTATCAATATTTTCTTTGGTAAATTGATTCCGTCCCTGTTCGAGATATAATGAAATAACCGAACGAGTCATTACATCACGACCTAAAATATATTTATCAGATATGCGCGATTTTTTTCAACATTAAAATTTCAAATTTTTAAATGTAATTTTTTTTTATTTTCTTTCTTAAGATTAATAAACCTAGAGAATTTACTTTTACTACATTTTCATATTTTTTTTAAAGCATTAGGTTAATTGATATGAATTCAAAGTTGGTAAAATATAAGCATTAAAAGTTAATTTTAGTTTCTTTAAGAAATTTTTATCATCAAACTATTGTAATCGAGAAATCCTGACAAAATTGATGACATATTATAGTGCAAAAAATGTAATCATCGATACATGAAGACATTGTAAGGTGCGTCCAAAAACATTTTCTTGCAGATATTAAATTTAACAATTATTGGCAAAAGACTAATCAAGTTATGGCCAAAGATTAATTTGATTAATTTATTTATGAAACTTCAAAAGTGCTCAAAAAAAAAAAGAAAAAAACAATGATGAATGCATTTTCATAAATTAATTTCATACGTGATTGTGAAGATCGATGCGGTGTATTTGAAGTTGGTGGACGTCGTTCAGTTTGACATAAACGAGTCGAGGAAACATTTACAGATTGCGGTGTGTGATATTTTCTTAAATTTTTTTTTTCAAATTTAAAACAATTCTCAGAAAATTTAGCTTTTTTTTTTACACGTCAAAGAAAAATAATATTTTAATATCATAACACATTTAGCAAATATTGTTAAGACTATTAATTTTACACTTTGTTTTACAGCTATTTGTTGAAGCTTTTAAATAAAATATTTTGTGAAAAAATTTAGAATTAATAAAGTTGAAGTGTAAATTTAAATTAAAAAAAAAATTAATTTCTCATAATTCATACATCGCATAATCAATTTTTCCAGTATTTGGCTCTCCCTCCGATGTTGACGATTCCATTTCCTCAATTTTGTACCGCAATAAATCATTCTCTTTTAGCATCGATTCAGACATTACTGCTTGATTACGTGCAGAACGTTGTAACTCTTCAAACTTCGATGCCAAAATTCTGCAAAAATTAGAATTTCAAAAAAAAAAAAAAATGAAAACCTTCCCTAGGAAATTAAATTAATTTCTTGTAAAATTTTAGCAAATATCAAATTTAATAAATAACGCTTAGTCAATTATCATTTTGTATGTATGTGTTTTTTTTTTTTTTTTAAAGAAATCACGATGTTAATTTTATTCATTACATACTTTTCTGTATTAGTTTTTTGATCCACCAATATTTTTAGCTCACGAACACGATGTTTTAATTTGCTTATTTCGATATCTTTCAATGGAATCTCTTCCACTTTCAGCTGCAATTTTGCATTCGAATGTCGCAATGTTTTAATTTCGGTTGATTTAATTTCCAATGCCGTATTTAAACTGCTAATTTCTTTCGATAGCTCCTAAAATTTAATTCTTTGATTAACTAAAATTATCAAAAAAATTATGAATCATTTTTTTTTTTAAATTGAAATGCATATTATTTATTTATTGTATACTCTGAACTCTGTACCTCAAACTTTGTCACTTCTACTTTAATTCAAAAATACCAAATTATTTTTCAAGAAAAAAAAATATTAATCCGCGTCGAAATTATAATGAAAAGCTGCCATTTTATTACTTCTTTTAATTAATTAAAAAAATTATAAAAAACTAATTGTTGAATGAAATTTTCAAATATTAACTTATTTAAAAAAAAAAAAAAAACTCACTGCAACTTTTTCATTTGTATCTTTACTTAGTGTTATTTCAAGATTTTTCTTATCTCGAATCAATTCTTCCACACATTTTTCTGCTTCCGCTAATTTATTATCTAAATTGTCGCATTGAAGTTGATTGGAACGACTGAGACGTTCAATTTCCGCTTTATGAATGCAACGTTGCTCATCCAATGTTCGCATTAATTCATCGTTACATTCCAATAACTTAAAATAAACAATAAATATATCACAATAAGATGTCATTAATTTCATTTAAT